TGGGATATTCTGGAAGAGAATAATGTGTTTGCTTCAAATTAATTTGGACTGTCATGGCATAATCATATGGACGAGTATCCCTTTCTATGGCAAGATAGAGTATGAAATATGAGTGGGATGCTAATAAAATAGCTTTGGGAGTATCTATTATGTGATTTCTTGTTTTGCTGTTTTAGGGTGTGTCGATGGTTTAATTCTTAAAATTATTTAAGACAAGCTTTCCAAGTTTCGATATATAAAGAGAAGGGGGTTAAGTAATTTCAGAAAAGGCAAAACGTCATTTCAGGTCAAGCAAAAACATTTTAAGATGACCCAGACAGATCCTCCTCCTTCCAAATTTGGTCCCATCCAACCCAATGCTGCCGTCCCCAGAACACTTCAGTTCACCCTTTGAACCAGAGAATCCATTACATTCATTTCTCTAATTATGGTCTGGTTTCTTTTAATAAGCAGATGTGGAACAATATAATCGTAGCCCCAGGCTCCTGAAATGGTGGACTCCAGCCTAGATCTGGACCTCACATAAATATGCCCCATGCCTTGCCAAGGTCCCAGACACAACATCTCCCACATTCATGAAGGAGATCTCAAGTCTTTTACCACTCTTTTTGGTGGTGTGCACCACCAGGCTGGCCCAGCACAGGTAAAGCCAGTGAACAGCTCCTTGCTGACTATCCCCTGGTAAGAATTAGCAGATTTCAATAAAATTACTTACTGGAGCATTATTTAAAAAGTGCCTTTTGCTCAAGATTGCAAAGAGCTCACTTTCAGTTCAACAAAAGCCCCCTCAAACAAACCCAAACATTCCTCAACAGAGGATCTCTATTGCAGTTCTTCTTCCCAAAGAAAAATATCAGTCTTAACATATTTGTTCCCACTCATGCTCCTGGGGTTTTCAATGAAAGTCTTGAAGCTGTGCAAGCAGCTCATAAAAGGGAGCCCCTTTCTGATTCAAGTGTGCCCTCCTGTTCAGATTTTGGGAAATGGGATGATTAATTGATTTCCATCATCAGACTCCCCATAAGTCACAAGCCAAGCTGCTATTTAAAGTTTCCATTGACAAAGATTTCATTATAAGAAGCCATAATTTTTATCCAGTGCTGTGCAAACTTTTTTAGTCTTCAACCTGAATTAGGCCCATATGTTACAGAAAAACACAGTGAGGGCAAGTTGTGGGGGTGAAGTGGTGAGAGGAAGGGAAGGGAGCAACTGCTCTATCTCAGAGGCTGAAAAAACTTCCACCCACATCACAGTATAAAGGGACTCTGAATTGGTCGTCTTAACCCTTATCTAAACAAAATAAATCAAAAATACAATTTTCCGACTGACGCTGAAGGATTTGCTTTCTTAGCCAAAAAGCAATTTTAAACTCCCTTGCTGAGTAATCTTTGCCCAGATACTGAACTCCACTGAGAGCTCCTGGGGAGTCCAAGGTGGTGTTGCTGAATTCTCCTCCCTGTGTCCTGCTGCTGGGATAGGAACATCCTCAAACAGCACCTGCCACGGAATGCAGATGAAACCACAGCTAGGTGTTGTAAGTAAACCTGATGACTGGGAGACCCTTCCCCCAGAGGGCTTTGCAAAGCAGTTCAAAAGGCAGCAAAAATGGGAGAGAGGCAATACTGCAATCCTTATTTCACAGAGTCAAACAGGCAAGGTGTATGCTGGCAAATAGAAGTTTACTGTTAATAAAACTGTGAGCTCTAGAACCTGCCAAGACCATCTGCATTGTTTAAGATGATAACATAGTCTGTGGTCATGAGCAAGGGGCTGCTAGTGATAACAATTTTGTTGTGGCCACCCTTTTGAAGTGGCTTTAGCAGGGAAAGGATGGACATAAGGGTGCAAAGCACATTCAACCTGACCAGTTTTATTTAGCTGCATAGACAGAGTCTTCAGCAGAGCAGAGGCTTCATCTGCCTTGTAGCTCCATATCAGAGACCCCCCCAGATGATAAATGTATCACAAAAAGACCTCTCCCCTTCTGTCACGTGTGCTTGAGTTCCTCATAAATGTCAGATCTCTTGTTCCCTAATGGGATGGGAATCCTTTAGGTGACTGGGGAGCAGCAAGATCACTGTGAGGATGAACCAGAAGTACCAAGGCGGAAGTTTAAGAAGTGTGCACTAAGCTGTGTAACTGTGTGATATGGCTAAGCCAAAAATTCCTGGATACGGAAGTAGGAACTGATAAGTCTCAGTCTCTCATTCTCTATGATCGGCAATATGGCCTTTGAAAAAAACAGGGATAAACAGTATCAACCTGCTTAAAATGTTCTCTGAGAGAAGTAAACAGAACCTGACATACAAGTGCTATTTAGTAATGCTTGGGAGAGCCAGCCAAATATCACATTTATAACATGGATTTTTCCAGCATGACAGAACTACAGCAACAGCACAAGTCATGTTAAGATCTGGAAGGGACAAATTTCCTCAGACAAAGAAAAAGATTTAGCAGTCATTGAACACAAACAGAAATTTTTCTTCTCTGCCTTTTAAATGATAAATTTAATCAGAGTTCCAGGGCTTTCCTTATTTCCTTTCTTTTCTTATAGCCGAGCTCAGGCTGGCTAGAAACCCTGTTCTTTTGGATAAAGTCAGGCAAATTGAACAACATAAGAGCAGAGAGTTTGGGGTACCCTCAGAATTTCAGAGAGCATGAAAGGTAGAGAAATTACATCCTTCACACACAGGTTTTGATAAGAAACTTTTGGATTATGCCTTTCAGGCTTCAGAAAGAGCAGTAAATCCACACAGTCTAAGCCAGAAGAAACTACCCAACACAGACCCTCAAAGACCCTCCACTCCTCTTGCTGTGACTTCAATGCCTTGTGCTCAGGTAGACCATTCTTTTCAGGATGACCCACAGCATGATTAAAAAGAACAATTACCCACTTGCATTCACAGTTGTTGCTAATGATTAATCACCTCTATAGTTAAAAATGTGGCCGTTGTTTCTTGTTAGGATACAAGTTTGGGTGCAGCTTTTGCTACCAACTCTTGTTGTGTCTCTGTGTGGTTGACCAGGAGATCTTCGCTATTGCTGTTTATCCCCATGAAGATAATTCATCTGGCATAAGCAAATCACCTCACAACCTTGCTTTTCACAAACTTAGCAGACAAAGATCTTTTAAGTCTTCCACTGCAGCATGTTTTCTCTGACCCTTAAATTATTTTTGTACCACTTTGTGCACCTTAAAATCAAATGTGTGCCTGAAATGGGATCTCCTGTTTCATAGCAAGGCACAAGCTGCTGTGCAGATTTATAATCTTGGGAGTATTCAGCCCAAGGAGCCAGTTCATACCTCATCTCATGGTTCAGATGTGGATCTGTACTCTCTTGATCATGTTGACATAGGAATTGTGCATTTCTCCAACTTTCCTTCAGGTTTCTCTTGAGTTGTAGTTCATGGGTAGTTTCCTCTAAAGGCACATCTGAGCCCAAAGTTCAGCAGCCTGACCTCAGCAGACTCTGTGGTGATGTCCAAGTCTTGGGAATTGCAGTCAGTCAGTAGCAAGAGGTGAATTCAGCCAACCTTTTCAATGCTGGGGGTTGACCTTACAGGACAAATCTCCACGGAGCTGTTTTTGCGTCTCCGGTACTGGCACACAGACATGTAATGAAGTATATGCCCTTCCCTATGGGACACTCCTCCATGAGTTCATTCCTGGCTTAGTTGGAGAAGCTGGATTTTACATTATTAGGTATTGAGTTGCAACATGAAATTACCAAAATGTAAAACATGGGAAAACATACTGTAAATCACTTATTGGCAGGTCTCTCACCTCTTTACAAGTGCACAACTGGATACATATGAGTCTTTTGGAATTTCCAAATTAGAGCCCAGAAGACCTTCCCGAAGAAAGGTATTTTCTGTTGGCACCAAAACAATTTTATCTGAGCTAAACAACAGAGTTAATGTTTTAGCATTCACACGGCCGTTTGCAGGCTACAAATCCAAACTTAATTTCATCTCCTTCTTGCACTGTAGCTCTATTATTATTGCTTTTTTAAATGAATGTTATTATTCTTGTAACTCTCCCGCTTTGGCTTTTCAAAAGCAATATACAGAGACCCAAGGGACTGACAGTGAGAATGCAGAACCTTTCACATTCAGGTGAAAACACTGATATCTTTAATGGCCTTATCAGGAATGGAATTTACATAAACAGAGTAAACATGTTCTTACTACTGTGACCTCCAGCTCTGTTGTCCCCACTGCTTGTGACCCTCAACTTGTGGTGACAAAGGATGCTCTGATATGAGCAAGGAGTGATTTTGTGGTTAAGGAACTAAACTGAGAATCAGACTTCTGGGATTTATTCCAGGCTCTGCCACAGTCTGCCTGTGTGTAAGTCACTTAATCCTTCTCTGCCTCAGTTTCCCATCTGAGGGAATAAATAAAAATATTTTCTTTTGTCATTCTTTGTCATTTCCTTGTCATTCTTGTCTCCAAGGCCAGAAAGATCCCCTACGCTGGAAGTGTCCAAGACCAGGTTGGATGGGGCTTGGAGCAATCTAGTCTAGTGCAAGGTGTCTCTGCCATGGCAGGGAGGTGAAACAAGATGAACTTTCAGGTCCATTTCAACCCAAACCATTCTGTGATTGTATGAAAGATTTGTCAGCTGAGCCACAGAACAGCTGAGCATAGACTCTATCACACAGTTATGTTTGAGTGTCCGAGGGACTGGGTCGTGCCTCTGGTTAGCTCAGGCTTTCAGATAGGCAGGGAAGAGGCATTTTTCTTGTTTTAGTATTTGTCCAAGATGTGTTACTGTGCTTTTCTGTGAAGACTGGGTCACAAATGGAAGGGTAGTTCCTGAGAAAAATGAGGATCAAATGGCTGATCCCAAAATGCACCTTGACCTGTGGTCCCACCATTACAACTGGTGATTAAAGAGTTCAGGGAAGCTCCACCAAGAGCCAGAAGTTCACAGGCACACAATAAGCAGGCTTTCATCCTAAACCAAAATAACTCCATCTGCAGGAATTTCACTCACCAATTCAGACAGCAGGTCATGGCAGGACACACTGCAATGTTCACCTGAGGTAGGGAATGAAAGTGTCACCAGGAAAGCCTCCCAAAAGCCAGAGCACAGTTTACCCTTTCATGCAGCTCAGAACAGAGAAGACACAACAGATTTGTCAAATGCAAGTTCTGCCATGTGTGGAGACAGGGTTTGAACACCACCCTCTCTCCCCCCACCCCTGCACACCACACTACAAGGGTCTGTGTTGGCAAGGGCACTTCACAGCTCATGGGAAGGAGATAGAACTAGAGCCTCTCACATCTTCATTTATCTGCACACCAGTTTAATTTTTCTCTGCTTCATTTACTCTTAGAATTTGGAGAGTTGGTGGCACGCAACCTGGGCATGAGTTTTTCTTATAGTCCCATTTTCTGCTCTCCATGTGCCAAAGATCCATCCCCCACTTTTTCTTTAGGGAGGAACTGGCTTACACAGCACCTAGAGAAGGAGATGGGGCTGCAGAATAACACTGAACACAACCTGACGGATGGATATCCATTATCACAAACTGTACCTTCCAATTCTGACCATCCCCAATAGCTACTGATTTCAAACCAATAGATTTATTTAAAGAAAAAGGGTTATTTAATATAAAAGGAGTTACCAAATACCTGCATATATCTGCTACAACCAGTTGTTTTCTCCCTGAGAGAGACACGTCTGCTGGCCTTGCAGAGAGCACATCACATCCTCTGGATTAGCAGGTCTTTCCATGGATAACTTGATGTGAGGCTGGTGTCCCATAGGAGCTCCCAGATCACAGCACTCACTATGGAGAACACTGCACTTTAGTGTTCAACTTGGATGATGCTTCGAGAGATAAAATACAAAGTTATCCATAAACCATCAAATGTTTCGGACCTTTCAGAACACTATTTGCTGATTCCCTCGGAAATTTATTAGCTCTACCAATATTTTCTTTTTTAGCTTTGTAAAGTAAGTTCCAAGTCAGTTAGTACTGACTATGCAGAGCCCTGAAACCACATGTTTATTTTCCTAAGTTATAAAAAGTTTATAAGGGTAGCTGGTATCCTTATGGGCCACTGTACAGTGATTTGCTACTGCATTCCACACTGGTACAGAAGAGCTCTGTGTTTTATACCAGAGGGAAATCCTTGTGATACAGCTGTCCAGCAGCCAACAAGAGTACAGACACCTTCAAAAATATAACTCTGATAAAAAAAAAAAAATTAATATCTGAAAAGGTAGAAAACATCCCTACTGAGAAAAATCAGTTTGAACAACTGATGACCCTGGGCAGCGCAAGATCTGTATTGTGATACACCAGAGAACATCAACAAAGTCCTCTCACCCCAGACATAGTTCTTTTTTTTTAACTAGATCACCATTTCTACCTGAAAATGCTGTATGGTCACAATAATTTTTGAAAGTCCAATGCAATAGCTGCCTTGTCTTTTTGCAGTTAACATTTAGCCCCAGGCTCTCAGCTTTCACAACTTCATATGTCGCTTCATTGACATGAAGAGGCTTTGGTCAATTTACACTGGAGAATGGAGAGACTGTTATCCATTTATCTCTTAAAATAGTGAGTACACAGCTGCACAACATGAAGAATTAGGTCAGTATGTTGCTATGTCTGTCCTGGAAGGAGAAATTCAGAGCAAATAAGGTAGATTTCAGGAGAGAGCCTGGAATGTGTGAAAAGTTAGCAAAACTGACATAGACTCAATAGCAAAAATAAGTAATTTTGCAAATCCCTAAACCACAATGGTTGGATTAGGGCCCTTGTCATACAATTCTCGGGCATGTGAACAATCCCTTTTTCACTTGAGTTCATTTCATTAGTTTCTCTCAGCTACATAAATACTTGTACTCTCAATGGGACTACTCACATCAATAAAGTTCCTCAAGCGAGCAGGGATTGCAACCCAATTTTAGTGGAACAAACCCAACCTCTGACTTTGATTGCATCCCTCACTTTTCCAAAAAAACTTCATTTCCAGCAAGAACGAGCCCACAATCCCTGTGGAGCTTGCTTTCGCCACTTCCAAGCACAATCCCAGTTATTTGTCTTGTCAAATACAAAGGCAAACAGGGCTCTTCTGAACTCCCCAACTTCACCTTCCTTCATAAAAACACTGCTGGGCCTCCAGCAGGCCAATTTGGATGTTTTTGAGAACTCCTGGGCTTTGCTCTGCTCTGATTGATAGATCCTTGGTGGGGTTATCCTGCTCACGTTGAATCCCAACATGCCTCTGCCAGCCAGCAACCTCTGTAAGTCAAAATTCTGCTCAGTGTAATATCATGAGTAATTACAGTAGTATCAAAGTGGCAATTACTCAGATGTAAATTGTTTTCTGATTGTAGTCTTTTTTTTAGTCTTTGACATTGTTGCATGGAGTTGACTGTGATTAATTCATTTATAGTCTAATAGAAATGTCACGGAAAATTGCCCCTTTACCTATCAGTTCCTATCATAATTCTTAGTTTAAGTTTTGCTGCAAAGGAGACAGGATGGGCAGTGCTGGAGTGAGAAGTGCACTGAACAGCTGGAGAAAGCAGCAAAACAGATCCCAGCTGGCAGCCACCATTATGGGGATCCCTAAGTATAAAGAGCAGATATTGAGTTGGATGTTTTCTGTATATTTTTCAAGTAAGTTTTTAGTTAGTTCCATTCTGCCAAAAGCATAGGAGGAATTTCTCTTTTTCCTCCAACTCTCCCTGATCATCCAAAAATACACATGAAGAGCTGAACAGAGCAAGAAGCAGAATTGAAATCAATAAATCGACTTGCTGGCCTCATATGTCAGTATTTATCATCTTATCCAAGAATATACAATAAAATCAGCACATCTAAACTCAGCCATTTCCTCTCATGACTGTGAAAACTCTGCTGACATGCACTGCTTCCACAAATACCCACCAGATGTGGCACATTTCAGGTAAAGGCTTCAGTGGGAGGCATGAGCTCTTCCTTTAGTGTGTTCTCTTCCCCTCAAGGTGGAACAAAAGAAGTGGGAAGACAATGAAGAAGAAGATGAAGCAAAATCAACTCCTTCCCCTCCCTTTCTATTATTTTTAAAGACTACAAAGTATCTCCAAAGAGCTTTACAAAGACTGTCATAGAAAATAAACACACAGAGGCATTTCTGTCCCAGAGTTATCAGACACAAACTGGTAAATAAATCCTTACTCCTACAAAGAGAAACAAATGGAGAGACCTGATCTATTAAGTGCAGTTACGTTGCACCAAATACAGGTTCCTGTAAGTAATATCAAGGTCTGCAAAGGGTAAGAAAATAAGACTTGGTAAAGTAGAATAGACTTGGATGGATTGGGTTTGGGGTTTTTTTTTAAATTGTTTATTAAGTACAGTGACAGGAACATATAAAACTTTTTTATGGAAGAAAAGGACAAGGACACCGGGAGTAGTGAGAACCCCGACCCACTGATTCTCTCAACAGGACTTGAATCCAGCACTGAAGCAATGGCAAGGACATATTTTAACCAGAGATAGGAGACAGAAACCATCTGCGGGGCAAGAAAATTCTGGTAACATCCAAACCAACTTGCTCTCCAAGATCCTGTGTGTGTACAGGCTTGTTGAACACGAGCACATGAATGTTAAGATTGTGTTTTCTGGGGAAAGGCAGAAACCTTTTACATTGTAATATAAATGTAATGAAATGTAATATAATACATAAAAATGTGAAACTAGTCTGATGTGACTTTCTTGCACAGAACAGCATCTTACCATTCATACATTCAGATACATATGCAGTATATATATATTCACATGCATAAACATGCTGTATTATTTAACTTAAAGCATAAACATGTGCTTAAGAGAGACAAGTCTGACAGCCCAGAGACCTAATCTTTCCATTAGCAGTCTTCCATCTCTATTACCTTGTCTCACTGGATTTCCTTCTGTGTCCCAGGGAGAATGGCTTTTGTAGCAGAACAAGCAGAAGAACACTCAGATTTACATAAACACTGTGCTTGATGTTCCAAGATGCAGCCACACCATCAACCAAGGGATGGTTTTCTCATACAGGAGGAATCTCAGCTGTAATCATCAGCCTTTTCACAACAGATTCCTGCAAGTCTTTTACTTCCTTCACTTGCAATTTGCCCAGCGCAGAGATTTACATGAAAGGGTTGAACTAAATATTGAACTTCATGTGGAAGTGTGTTGTATGATCTGGAATATCAAAGGGTATCTCTGGAGTACAACAATTTTGGTCATGGCAAAAGGATGAAATCCTTTTTTCCAGCCAAAATACCATCTATTAGAAGGTCATGTAAGTTGTTTATCACTATAATTTCTTGTTCTTGATCCCATTTACCTCAAGTGTCTTCAGGACAATTAATATAAGCAGTGCTTTTAGCATTTTAGGAAGTGCTATGCTAACTAATACAGGAGTCCCATTAGTGGATTCTGCTCCACTGAGTTTCAGTGTTAGGACTGAAAACTGAATTGCACTGTAGGACTAAAATTAGATCATCAGCCTTGACTATCAGGAGTTAGTAGATTGCTTAAAAGAAGCAGAATGGGGTGCTAGCAGCTGTAGATTAGTAATCCAGTAATTGAGGAATAAAGTGAGAACTGTGGAATAAAGGAATTGAGGAATAAAGGAATTGAGGAATAAAGTGAGATGTGGGTTATCTGGAATGACAAATACTGCAAATAATAAAAACACTTCTCTTTAGCCATATGGGTGAAAAGAGAACAATGATAGAATCATAGAATCATAGAATATCCTAAGTTGGGAGGGACCCAAAAGGAACACTAAGTCCAACTCCTGGCCCTACATAGGACAACTCCAAGAATCACACCACGTGCCTGACAGCATTATCCAAGCCCTTCTTGAACTCTGGATGGATGAAGAAAAGACAACATGAGGTACATACAGACCTGAGAATGACTGAAGAAGTCAGGATTTTCCTTTTGTTTTTAATGGTTATGATGAAGAACATTCTTGGACCCCACAACAGCAGAAGTAGCCCAGAAAAAAACCGTCATCCATTGTGGGTGACATCAAAATCTTACCTGGGCTTTGCACCTTGCAGCTTGGCAAAAGGCTGGAGACTTTAGCAAGTTCGGGATTCTGTGAGTTTCCCTGCAGACTTTCAGTGCATGTTCATCCTTGACACAAAGGTCAGTCTGTTTGCCAGATGTCAAGTCCTTCCTGCAAAGTACGGGGGGCAAAAGAGCAGTTCACATAAAGGTTGTCAGATTTTTTTATGCATTTTTTTTCCCCTGATTTTGGCTGACATTTTCTGAAATGAATTCAGCCTGAGGCAGACACTCAGCATGAAGAATTTAAATCCAAATGGTTACAGCTTGGCAAAGCTCTGAGCAACTGAAAACAGAGTCTTGTAATGGGAAGTGTCAGACAACCCCAATAACAGGGAACCAGCTTGTCTGGAGCGAGCATTGTAACACACTGGTGATGGATGACATCAGACTGGAAATTTCACAGTTAAGTAGCTGCAGTGCCACTAATCCTCCCTGGTGAAGAAGGTCGGTGTTAAGAGTCCATCTGGTCTGTATGTACAATGTAAGATTATGCCCATCATGACAAAGTTAATTAAGAATGGAATTCCCCTTTCTCGTTAAAGCAAGGAGTAAAATTTGGGCACCAGTGACTGACTTGACATCACATACTTTGGTTCATTGACAAGTACGGCACCTTCCACATGCATACAAGTTGCTGACTTTGGGATTTTTTTCTTATTAAGTGAATATTTGTTATGATTTACTTCTGAATTAATTGGGTTCAGCTTCCATCTGGACATTCCTATGAATGAACTTCAGAGGCCTAAACAGGCAAGGACAGGACATTTCAGGTTTGAGTGGAAGAGCATCAAGAGGAACAGAACATTAAATATGTGCACCTGGATATTCATACAGGAGGCTACTGCAGCAATATTTCAGTGAAGTAGGCAGGAATAGCACCATGTGACTGGCTTGACCAGCACATCTCAAAGTTTGTTATTCATGAATAAGCCAGAGGCCAAAAAAGTTCATAATGCTATTTGTCCAAGCCAGTATGGCGTAGGAAACTGCACTTACCTCAGAGCTATTCCCTCAGCAGGAAAAAAAAGGCTACATTTGAATAAATTATTTGTGGTGAATTATTCCATTAGCTGTAGTCATCATAATTCCACCCTGATTTTTATGTAGCATACATAAGAAAATTCTCCATTCCATATTGTATCTTCACTTAATTTGCTGTGGCTGGAAACAGCAATTAAACACTACTTTTAAAGAATCTGATTACCTGACAAATGCAGATCTCAGCTAATGTTTGCTACAGAGATGTTGCTAACAAAAGCAAAGCTCACAGTGAACTTGAATGATGAAAGTGAACTTGAATAATGGAAAATATGTTTAAATTTATGCATTAATAGCTCTGTGGGTAAAACCAGAAATACAAGGATTAGCACTCTGATGAGTGAGGCTCATCACGGCTAAAAAGGTTTTGATTTGTTACTTTGTGGAATATAAGGACTTAAATTAGCATCAGTTTGCAGCAGTTTTTCATAGAATCATAGAATAGTTTGGGTTGGAAGGGACTTTTAAGGCTCATCTAGTTCCAATCCTCCTGTCATGGGCTGGGACACTTTTCAGTAGATCAGGTTGTTTGAAGTGCCATCCAAGCTGGCATTGAACACTTCCAGGGATGGGGCATTTAATTTCTGAGTTCTCTAGAGAAGGCTGGTGTGAAAGTTTAGACACAAATGCCTTTGCTTATGCTGGCACCAGCAATGTCGAGACAGTGCAAGAGCATTTCTACAGCTTATTGGCCACGTGTGGGACCAGAATCAAGGACTCAAGTGTTACAAAGATCAGAGAAGCAAGGAGGAAAAGAGACATGGATAGAGTAAAATGAAACTCAAAAAGGTACTTCATCTCTGGAGAAGAGGTTGTGTTCTTTTATCCTACTCGATGAAACACCAAAGGGGGGAACACTTGGGTGGTACCATCAGGAAAAGCTCCATGTGCCTTGGCAGCACCTGTGGCCACCACGGGGCTCTGAATGCCCAAGCTGCTGGGACTGAGACGTGGTGTAACTCACCCAATTGTGCAGGTTCAGCTTCCAGGCACTCCTGCAAATCCCTGCTTTTGCTTTGGTTTGTGTGGGCTTCTCCCCTTCTGAGTTTTGGTTTCCTACAAACTCCATAACTCCCAGCACATCCAGCCAAAGCCAACGTGTTCTGCCTGTTTTCAGGTTGAAATCGTTCCATTTCACACAGTGCTCATCTGTAACCATGAACTGGCCCAGCTGCACTCAAAACTTGGCCTACAGCTGTTCAAAAAAAAGAAATCATTTTTTCATCACAGCAGACCCAAACCAGATCATAATGGGTTCATCCCAAAGGGAATAACTGGAAACAGCACGTCCATTTCCTTGGCACTACATATGTCTGGCATAATCTGCTAGAGAGAAAGGTACAAC